CCCGTGCCCCGGCGCGCCCCGGGTGTCCCGGAGCTGCCGCTCGCTCCGAAGCCTCTCGTGTTTCCGCTCTCAGGGCTGGTTTCCTTTCTCTGCTGATAATTGACCACTTCCTTCCCTGCACCGGAGCCCGTGCTGGGGGGGCTGCCCCCCTCCCGCTGCCGGACCCCGGGCCGTGGGAGCTGGGCTGCCCATAGGGACCGGTCCCGGGGCGCTGCCGTAGCCCTTGCCGGAGACTCGGCCCCTGCACAAAGCGTGGCCTGGGCTGGGATTTGGGACATCTGCTCCTTGGGAATCTTGGCCCTTTCTCCACGTGGCAGCTGCTCCGAGTGGTTTTCGGATCAAGCGAAGCTGTTCCCTGCCGCTCTCCTTCTGTGCCACCCGTGTGGCCGACAGCAGCTGGCAGGGAAGGGCACAGCGCCGCGTCCAGGCTGCTCTGCATCCTCAGGGACGTCCTCAAAAGTCCCCTGGAGCCCTGTCCTTGTCGCACCCCAGACCCGAGGCCAGGATGACAGCCTGCCCAGGGGCTCCCTGAGCTTTGGACAAGGCACAGGGGCCCCCAGCCATCATCGTGGCAGAGGACGAAGGCTCCAGGGTGATGTGGGTGCTCTCTGTTCTCTTCCTTAGGCTGGGCTGGATAGGATGTCACAGGGCCACATGCTGGCAGACGTCGTGGCCATCATCGGTAAGGGCTCCTGGGCTGAAGGCACAAACCCCTCAAGCTCCTTCCCTGCTCTTGAGGGCCGGATTAGGGCCCTGGGGGTTTGCACCTGCCCTGATCTCTCTCCTCCTCTTGCCAGGAACGCAGGACATCGTCTTTGGAGAAGTGGACCGGTGAGACGGTGGCCTGTGCCGCGCGCTGCCCCGCGTGCCGGGACTGCTGCTCCTCTGCGTTGCCCTCCGAGTTCTTCAACCGAAGTCAAATAAAGACAAAACTGCCCTGCCTGTTGCTCAGCTTGGAGCTGGTGCCTCTGTCCCTGCAGCCACCCTGTCCTTCACCTCCACCTCCTTCACCTCACCAATACCCAGTGAATTGCACTTTTCCGCCCTTTTTCCGTGCAAGGCCTGCGGTCAAGAGCTTCCCTTCCCTCTGGCTCCTGGCCACGTCCTCCCTCCCCGGGGCACGGTTTCCGCAGCCTGGGGGAGACCCGAGGGAGATTTTGTGGGATTTTACGGCGTTTTCTGCCTCCGCTTCCCCATACGCAGTGGGGCAGCAGGTTGGAGCTTTGAGCTGGCCCTTCTGCACCGGCAACCCCAGGGCTTGGGAAGGGGGAGCCGCCTGGTCCTCCCTGGAGCCCTCCCGTCCCGTGCAGGGTGTTTGGGTCTGGGTCCCTCTTGTCACACGTTACTCGGGACCAGCTCACGTGGTGCCTTGAGTAACGGCCCTGCTAAGCACTGGCTGCCCTTTCCTGGAAGGGAAACCAGCCTGCAGCGCCGGGTGAGTTCCCTAACGCGACGTGAGGCCAAGAAAAGGAAACCGCTGGGCTTGGAGGGCGGAGGGGGGGACATGAGGGACACGTAAACTGTGAGCGGAGGAGGGCGTTTGCTCCGCGGTCTCGGGGCCTCGAACGTGACGCTCGGCCGGACGCGGTGGCGGCTCGGCTGGCCCGTGGCACCGGGATGACTGCCCGCCTTGTGCTCGTCCTGCTGCTGCTCCTGCGGGCACGAGGGGCAGGTAAGGGGGGTTTGCGTGGGGGTGGGTGAGCCCTGGTGGCTTTGGGGTGCTTAAAGGTGTCCCATGTCCCTTGTTTTGCCTTGTTTGGTGCTGTCCTTGCGCTCCAGACAGCCCTTTTGGGAGGACGGGGGCTTCTCTGCAGTCCGTCATGTTGTCCCCGAGTGCCGCAGATCTGCTGGTGCCGTCCAGCACGGGGACATGGGGGCCACGTCGCTGCCCCCAGTCTCAGCAAGGTCCTTGTGTGGCCCCATCCCCTGTCCCTGGCTCGTAAGGAGACATGGGGCAGATGAGGACTGGGAATCCCAGCACTCCAGGGTACCTCTGAAGGGAGCAAAAGGAGATCCCACCCCAGGGGAACAGCTCAGCACCCTCCAAATACCTGATTTCACCCCAAACCGGGGTCAGAGCTGGTGCCACCGTGCCCATCACATCTCGCTTTGGCGGTTCACCCGCCCTGGCCATGGGTAGACCTGTTGGCTCTGGCAACCACCTGTGCTCCTGCCAAACCGCATCCGTGTCAGCGCCGTATCCCACTCGGCCTGGCAGCTGCACCGGTCTCCGCACACCCGGATGCGCCTGTCCCAGCCCTCGCTCGAGGTTTCACCGGCGCCGCTGCTATTTCTGCCCCAGCTGCGGGGCTATATTGAGCCCAGCGTTGCGGCTGCAGCATTTGATGCTTTTGCTCGAGGTGTCGCTCGGAGCGGGGACCGCTGGGGACAAGGTGACGTCCGGATGCAGCGGCGCTGCCTCGGGGGCTCCCGCATCCTCCGTGTTTTCCCCTTCCAGAAGCCCTGATGGCGCCGGAGCTGTGCTACATCCTGGACGCCATCCTCTTCCTCTACGGCGTCGTCCTCACCGTGCTTTATTGTCAGCTGAAGGTGAGTGGCCGGGCTCATCCGCATGGTCCAGATCTCACCTGCATCACCGTGGAGGGGACGGAGGCTCCGTCCCTGCACAGAGCACCCAGAGGCTGCAGCGCCCAAGTCCGGGCACATCCAGGGCAGGGAATAACACGGAGGCTTCAGCGAGTGCTGGTGAAGAGCCCATCCAGGGTTGTTTTTTCCCTTTTTTCTCCCTCCTTCCTGCAGGTCCGGATCCAGAGAGCATCCAAAGAGGGCTCCAGAGCAGCCAGGGAGGTGAGGAGCTTTTCTCCAAAGGGTTTTGGGGGTGCTGGGGCACCCTTGGATGAGCGCACGGAGCCAGGTCCCACCAGGATCCCGGGAATCCTCGGGAGCCAAACGAGCCCCAGGCGGCTCCTCGGTGTCGCAGGAGGAAAATCCGCCCGCGCTCCCTCCCGGCTCCCACTTCTGCTTGTGGGCGCTGGGCGGGCGCCGGGGAGCGGGTGGCCGGGCCACGCGGAAGCTCCCGGTGCCGCCTGGTCGCCCTCAGCTCTTTCTCTTTCTCTTCTGCAGCAGAAAGGAGAACCCGTCTACACCGTGAGTCATCCTGGTTTGTTCCCCCCGTCCACGGGGCGGCTGGCGCGGGAGCCCTGGGTGCTGTATCCCTTGGGTGCCGTATCCCTTGGGTGCCGTATCTTCAAGGGCGCTGTCTCCCATGGAGACTGAGTCCTGCAAGTTGCTTATCCCATGGAATGCCCAATCCGATGGGGAGCCCAATCTCACGGGGTGCCCTGGGCTGCTGTGTCTTGTTGGGTCCCTCTCTCTTGGGTGCTCTCTTCTGTGGGGTGCCCTATCCCATAGATGCTGTTTCCCATGGAGTTCCCCATCCCATGGGTCCCGTATCTTGTGGGATGCCCTATCCCATGGGGTCCATATCCTGTTGGGTCCACACCCCTTGACTCCGGTATCCCATCAGGTGCCTTATTCCATGGGGTCCATATCCCATGGGGTACCCAACCCACAGGGTCCATATCCCATGGGATGCTGTATCCCATGGGTGCCATACCTCACGGTCTCCATATCCCATAGGCGCCCTCTATCCCATCTATACTCTGCACGCTGTAACCCATGGGTGCTCTATCCCATGGGAACCATATCCCACAGCGTGCTCTGTCCCATGGGTGCTGCATCCTGCAGATGCCGCATCCCCGGGGTGCCACATCCACACAGACACCCAGCAGTGGCCGCCCCGGGACACGGCGCCCGTCCTCGCTCCCGGTTCTCCCGTAACTTCCCACCACCATCTCTTGCACAGGGGCTCACCATGGAAAGCCAGGAGATGTACGAAACCCTCCAGCACAAAAGCTCCTAGAGGTCGCAGAGCGGTGTGGACCCCCCGGCATCACCCCAAGGGCTTCTCCGCTGCCCGGCTTGTTCCCCCCGACTCCGGTGCACAAGAGTCATTGGATGCTCCTCCTCCACCCTCCTGCTTGGCATTGACCCCCGAAATAGCCGTTCCCAAAAGCCACAGCGGCCTCCGCTGCCCTCGGCATCCTCCTGGCCAGGTTGATCCGGGACAGGTTGTAGCCGTTGGTCCCCAATGGGTTTTTCCACCCTAAAAGGGGCTGCAGAACCCCCCTCCCACCCTGCAATCCCCCTGTCCAAATTCCACTGTAGGAGACTTGGCAGCACCCCCAACACGGGGGAAAAGGGAGATGGGCTCCAGGATCCTGGGCCAGGATGGAGATGGGAAGAGCCTGAGGAAGCCCTTGGCTGGGGTCTGGCCAAGGGTGGCATCTCGGGGTGTCCTGTTATGGGGTAGAGGTGACATGAGGGACATCTCACTCCAGCTGGTGACATCTTCCTGGCTGGTGCCGTTGGCCCCTGGGGGTTGCAATGGTGGAGCTGGAGCTTTTTCTGGGTGCGAGAAGGGCAGTTTTGAGCCCTGGCTCTTCCCTGCTGCTGGGGAGCCCTGATGGGGACAGCAGAGCCCTGCAAAGCCCCGAATCCTCCTTGCCCCAAAACAGCCCTTCCTAAAGGCCTCCAGGGCCAATGTCCATGTCTCTATTTAATGATGTCCCAACGGTTCCCATCCTAATGGGATCCCTGGAGATTTGGAGAAAATAAAGCTCTTCAGGACTCTCAGGGCCCTGATGCTCTGCAGTTCCTGCTGCTACACCTTCAATTCCAGAAAACAGGACAAAAATGGCCTGTTGCTCCTGGCCAGGGTCTTGTGGGTCTCTCCTGCTATGGGGAAATGGGCAGAACGGGGGAGCAGGGCGAGAAGGTACTTGGTGCATCCTGATGCTCCTGCACACTTGGGTGCTGCTGGGGTGATGGTGGCATCCCCAGTGCAATCAGGTCATGTCCTTGGGCCACCTTGTACCCAAGCCAGGGTCACCTTGTACCCAATCCAGGGTGATATGGGGGCTTCGGCAGTGCTGGGGGGTGCAGGAGTGGCCAGGGGGTGCAGGGCAGGTCCCATCTCCCCCAGCAAGGTCCCAGCACCAGTAAGAGGATCACAGCACCCTTGATGAAGTCCCAGCACCCGCTCTAGGGTCCTAACGCCCTTGACGAGGTGTCAGCATCTTTGGTGAGATCCTGGTACCCAGCAGAGGAGCATCTCAGCACCCTTGAGGAGTTCTTAGCACCCACATGAGCGTCCTAACCCCTTTGTTGAGGTGCCAACCCTAGGTGAGATCTCAGCACCCCCAGGATCATCACAGCACATTTGTTGAGGTCCCAGCACCCACGGGAGTGTCCCAGCATCTCATCAAGGTGCCAACAACCCAAGCAAGGCACTAGCACCCACTGCAGAGCCCCGGCACCCGCAGGAGCATCGTGACATCCCTGCACCCAGAACCCACCCTGTCAACCCCTGCTGGCCCCCACCACGGCTCCCTTGCTCCCCCTTTACATCATTATTGTTTATCATTATTATTATTGTTATCATAAACCCAATTTGCCCCTACTTGGCCCCTGTTATCCAGCCAGGACAAAGCCGCTTTATTCCCACCTGCCGACAGCAGATCCGGGCCGGGCGGCGAGGCCAAAGACTCTGCCCTGTGCAAACCGGGCTCCCCGCCCACCGGCCCAATGGGTTTTTCCACCCTAAAAGGGGCTGCAGAACCCCCCTCCCACCCTGCAATCCCCCTGTCCAAATTCCACTGTAGGAGACTTGGCAGCACCCCCAGCACGGGGGAAAAGGGAGATGGGCTCCAGGATCCTGGGCCAGGATGGAGATGGGAAGAGCCTGAGGAAGCCCTTGGCTGGGGTCTGGCCAAGGGTGGCATCTCGGGGTGTCCTGTTATGGGGTAGAGGTGACATGAGGGACATCTCACTCCAGCTGGTGACATCTTCCTGGCTGGTGCCGTTGGCCCCTGGGGGTTGCAATGGTGGAGCTGGAGCTTTTTCTGGGTGCGAGAAGGGCAGTTTTGAGCCCTGGCTCTTCCCTGCTGCTGGGGAGCCCTGATGGGGACAGCAGAGCCCTGCAAAGCCCCGAATCCTCCTTGCCCCAAAACAGCCCTTCCTAAAGGCCTCCAGGGCCAATGTCCATGTCTCTATTTAATGATGTCCCAACGGTTCCCATCCTAATGGGATCCCTGGAGATTTGGAGAAAATAAAGCTCTTCAGGACTCTCAGGGCCCTGATGCTCTGCAGTTCCTGCTGCTACACCTTCAATTCCAGAAAACAGGACAAAAATGGCCTGTTGCTCCTGGCCAGGGTCTTGTGGGTCTCTCCTGCTATGGGGAAATGGGCAGAACGGGGGAGCAGGGCGAGAAGGTACTTGGTGCATCCTGATGCTCCTGCACACTTGGGTGCTGCTGGGGTGATGGTGGCATCCCCAGTGCCATCAGGTCATGTCCTTGGGCCGAATGTCACTTTGTGCCCAAGCCAGGGTGGTATGTGGGGCTGCAGCAGTGCTGGGGGGTGCAGGAGTGGCCAGGGGGTGCAGGGCAGGTCCCATCTCCCCCAGCAAGGTCCCAGCACCAGTAAGAGGATCACAGCACCCTTGATGAAGTCCCAGCACCTGCTCTAGGGTCCTAATGCCCTTGATGAGGCCTCAGCATCCTTGGTGAGATCCTGGCACCCAGCAGAGGAGCATCTCAGCACCCTTGAGGAGTTCTTAGCACCCACATGAGCGTCCTAACCCCTTTGTTGAGGTGCCAACCCTAGGTGAGATCTCAGCACCCCCAGGATCATCACAGCACATTTGTTGAGGTCCCAGCACTCACGGGAGTGTCCCAGCATCTCATCAAGGTGCCAACAACCCAAGCAAGGCACTAGCACCCACTGCAGAGCCCCGGCACCCGCAGGAGCATCGTGACATCCCTGCACCCAGAACCCACCCTGTCAACCCCTGCTGGCCCCCACCACGGCTCCCTTGCTCCCCCTTTACATCATTATTGTTTATCATTATTATTATTGTTATCATAAACCCAATTTGCCCCTACTTGGCCCCTGTTATCCAGCCAGGACAAAGCCGCTTTATTCCCACCTGCCGACAGCAGATCCGGGCCGGGCGGCGAGGCCAAAGACTCTGCCCTGTGCAAACCGGGCTCCCCGCCCACCGGC